GAGTTGGGGTCTCAGCCCAGGCTGGAGTACAGTGGCACGATCATGGCTTCCTGCAACCTTGACCTGGGCTCAAGTGATCCTTCTGCCTCAGTCTCCCAAGTACGTGGGATATGGAACAGGCACAGAGAAATTGTGCCTTCTTTAACTAGGGCACTAAGCCTGGTCTTAGCAGCTCCCTGTGTGACCCTGAGAAGTACCCACTCCCACCCCTGTGATGACCACCTGCCAGGAGCAGTGCTAAGCCCTGTACACACATTATCTCGCTTAATCCTCCCAAATACCCTGTGAAGTATGGGAAACAAGATGGGAAAAAAATAAATCCAGATAGGGGTGAAGTAACTTGCACAATAGAAACAGCCTGGGTTGGCTCATGCCTATAATCCCAGCACTTTGGGAGGCCAAGGTGGAAAGATCACTTGAGCCCAGGAGTTTGAGACCAGCCTGGGCAACATAGTGAGACCTCTTTTAAAAATTTTAAAAATTAGCCAGCTATTGTAGTGCACACCTGTAGTCCCAGCTACTTGGGAGGCTAAGGTGGGAGGATCACCTAAACTCAGGAGATTGAGGCTGTGGTAAGCTGTGAATTTGCCAGTGCTCTCTAGCCTGGGCGACAGTGAGACCCCAACTCAAAAAAATAAAGTAAAATAGAAACAATCTGGGCTAAGGCTTCAATTAATAATACAGGGTCTGGTAATATGTGCCTACTACCTAGTAGGCACCCACTGATGACAACTATTATTAATTTAAGATTTGATATTGTTTTCTATGATCAGATCTCTCCAGGTTTATGTACTTTCTATATACCAAGTAGACAGTAACACTGTGAAGTTTCTTAAACTTGTGTAAAACATAACTCAATGGGACAACTGAGCTGCCATTGCCTCTGACACGAGTGGGGAAATAGTTGAGGAGGATGCACTAAGTAGACTTAAGAGACAGAGCAAAAGTGCAGGCAATGTTTGCTGATAGGCCAACTGGAAAGAGACATTTTTTAGACAATTGCAGAAATTGCTTTGAATTTTTTTTTGAGTTGGAGTCTTACTCTGTTGCTCAGGCTGGAGTACCGTGGCACACTCACGGCCATCCTAGTGTCGACCTATTGGGCTCTGGTGATCCTTCCGCCTCAGCTTTCCAAGTACCGGAACTACAGGCATGTGCTACCATGCTGGGCTAATTTTTAAAATTTATTTATTGTAGAGACGAGGACGCACCAAGTTGCCCAGGCTGGTCTCAAACCCGCAGGTTCAGGCAATCCTCTTGCCTCGGCCTTCCAAAGTGCTGGGATTACAGGCTGAGTCACCAAGCCCGGCCAATTGCAGAAATCTCAAAAAAAACCTTTGATCTTGATCTGTCCTCCAGGCCAGAGTTCAGTGGCACAATCACGGCTCACTGTAGCCTCACACTCCTGGGCTCAGGAAATCCTTCCATCTCAGCCTCGCAAGTAGCTGGGAATACAGGTACCTGCTACCACATCCAGTTTTTTTTTGTTGTTGTTGGTAGATATGAGGTCTTGCTATGTTGCCTAGGCTGGTCTCAAACAATCCTCTCACCTTGGACTCCCAAATTGCTGGAATTATAGGTGTGAGCCACTGCGCCAAGCCTGATTGAGGAAATTTGACATAGACTGGGTATGAGATGAATTATTATTTATCTTGGTAGCTGAGATAAGGCACTGTGGATCTGTAGGAAAATGCATTCTCAAGTATGCAGGAGTGAAACATGTCTTGGATATGTCATGAAAGAAATAAAGGGGGGGGTGGACACAGTGGTTCACATCTGTAATCCCAGTGCTTTGGAAAGTCAAGGTGGGAGGATCCCTTGAGACCAGCCTGGGTAACATAGCCAGACCCTATCTCTCTCTCTCTTTTTTTTTTGCATTCAAGTCACACTCTGTCATCCAGTCTGGAGTGCAGTGACATGTTCACAGTCACCACAGCCTCAACCTACTGTGCTCAGGAGATCCTCCAACCTCAGCCTTCCAAGTAGCTGGAATCACAGGCATGTGCCATCATGCCCGGCTTGCCAAGTTGCCCAGACTGGTCTTGAACCCCTGGGCTCAGGCATCCTTTCATCTTGGCCTCCCAAAGTGCTGGGATTACAGGCTTGAGCCACTGTGCCCAGCCTCCTAGCTCTCTTAGAAAAAAAAAAAGCCAGTCATGGTAGCAGGTGGCATGTGCCTATAGTCCCAATTAGCCGGCCGTGATGGCACATGTCTGTGATTCCAGCTACTTGGGAGGCTGAGACAGGAGGATCGCTTGAGGACAGGAGTTTGAGGCTGCAGTGAGCTACAGTTGTACCACTGCAATCCAGCCTTAACAGAGTGAGATGTTGTCTCTTCATTAATGAATTAATCCCAGCTGTATGCCTGCCAGATCCTGTCCCCTGGAGCCACTCAGCCCCACACCCTTGCTTCAGCTTTGAAATGGACACACTAGAACTCACCTCACAGATGGCTTAAATGACATCACCAGGCAAACTGCCCAAGAGAGTCTGGGTTTTGCTAAGTGCATGATAAATGTTAGCTGCTACTTTATCAAATCTCAGTTTGGGGCTGGACACAGTGGCTCACACCTGCAATCCCAGCACTTTGGGAGGCCGAGGCTGGAGGGTTATTTGAGCCCAGGAGTTCGAGATCAGTCCCAAAACTCAGCCTTTATTAAAAAAAAAAGAAAATCTCAGTCTGATCACAGCACTTCCCTGCTTCAGACCATACACTTTTTTTTTTGAGTAGAAGTCTCACTCTATCACCAGGCAGGAGTGCGGTGGCACACTCATGGCCACCACAGCCTCGACCTGCTGGGCTCAGGTGATCCTTCCATCTCAGCCTTCAAGTAGCAGGAACCACAGATGTATACCACCACGTTTGGCTAATTTTTTGATTTATTGTAGAGACAAGGTCTCACCAAATTGTGTAGGCTGGTCTCAGGCAATCCTCTTGCCTCTGTCTCCCAAGGTGGGCTGGGATTATAGGCTTGAGCCACTGCGTCCAGCTGGACACTTTTTTTTTTGAGTTGGAGTCTCACTGTTACCAGACTGGAGTGCAGTGGCATGCTTGCAGCCCTGATCTGCTGGGCTCAGGTAATCCTTCTGCCTCAGGCTTCCAAGTAGCTGGAACCACAGGCACACACCACACCTGGCTAATTTTTTGATTTATTGTAGAGACGAGATCTCACCACATTGCCCAGGCTGGTCTCGAACCCCTGGGCTCAGGTAATCCTCTCGCCTCTGCTTACCAAACTGCTGGGATTAGAGGCATGAGCCACTGTACCCAACAACCACCCACACTTCTAAGGTAAGGTCAAACCCCTGACCCAGGACCCCCACCATCTGACCCCACCTTTTCTGGCTTCAGCTCCTGCCTCTTTTCATACCTGCTTGGTGCTCTGCCAGTGGGTCTCCACACCTACCTTGTGGCTTGATGCCTCTGTCCCTTTGCACCTGCTATGCTCCCACTGGGAAGCCCACCCCCAAGCCAGCTCCTGAGTCAGCCTCTCTGAAGGGCTGCTCCAGGCTCTCCATGTGGAAGTGTCCCCTCTCTGGGTTCCCATACCCCCATACATACTTCACTGATCACATTGGACTGTAATCGACTTCTTTACTCGTCCATCTCTAGGAGTCTCACAAAGGGTCCTGCCTTTTGCAAGCAATATAGAGGAAGTTTACTCAGTTACAACACCCTGGTTTCCAGACTGTATTTCAGAAGTGAATACGTTTTGACTTCTGCTTCAGGGCCTTCGCACATGCTGGTCCTTTGCCTGCAAGATTTACTCCTGGTGTTTCACAAACTTCAGTGTGCCAATGAATCTCCTGGGACCTTCTTGCAGGCAGATTAATTCAGTAGGACCAGGGCCCAACCCGAGATTCTGTTTCTGTCAAACATCCAGGTAACACCACAGTTTCAAGTCCCACACTTACTCCTACTCTGCCTGGCTCAAGCTGGCTCATCCTTAGGGTCTCAACTCAAAACATCACTTCAGAAAGGGCTTCCCTAGACCAGTCCTGCTGGTTCATGCCTATAATTCCAGCAAGAGAACAAAGGAGTGTTCTCTTTGGGAGGCAAAGGTGGAAGGACTGCTTGAGCTCAGGAGTTTGAGACCAGCCTAGGCAACGTAGTGAAACCACATCTCTATAAAAAAAATATATATATATAAGTTCTTCTAGAGACTAGCTTTCTTCCTCTTGGCCCTTCACGCTCTTGTAGTGTTTCCCGACTGGACTTGAAGTCCCATAAGGAGGGACACCGCTTTGTTCTCCTGGCAGTGTTTAATAAATATGACTTTTGCTTCAAGAAAAAGCCCTTAAGCCCTGCTCCCGTTCCCCAAATTTACTCTGCCGAACATTCTGGCAGTCTTGAGGGAAGGGTCTTGCAGAAAGGGTCCCATGCCAGGTCTGGGGGCCACTTGCTCTCCTGATGGAAAGGTGGGCATTGAGGGGCATCCAGATGTCTTGTCACACTGCGGATTCTGAGAACTTACACACACCACAGCCTGCCTTGACCACACTACTTCAAAGCAGATTTGGAAAAGGCCACGGAGGCTGTCCCTGCCAGTAAGACCTGCTAATCCCAGCTCCCACCAAGCCCCTACAACAAACACACCAGTCACTGCTGAAAGAGCTGCCACCAAAAAATTTCCACCCTTGTCACTTTTGTTTCAGTCAAAATTCGGAGCGGGTGAGAGATGGGGGTAGGTGAGAATGAAGCAATGGCTTATGAACGCCTGGGATAAAACTCACATCTCACACAAATTCCCAAGCCCTCAGGGCAGACAGCAACCTCAACCAGAGGGCTGTACCAGCTGCCCCCACCTCCTCCCAGCAGAATTGCCCAGGGGAGACCTCTGAAGCTCCCCTCCCCAGGATTCTCGGGGGTCAGGTGAGGATCTGCAGGATGGGGACCCCGCCCACAGCCCCAGGCCAGATCTCCACACGGCTTCATCTCCACCCCTCTCCCACCCCAGCCCCCAAACTCTTGGCACAGAGATGTTTTCTAACATGGCTACTGAGGTTCATTTTAATAATGTTTTTATTCCATGATGACAGCCTACCCTGTCTTTTCTACCACCCCGAAGCGTCCATGTCTGGGTCCGAGGTCACTGCTGCTCCAGTGCCGGGGGCTGAAGGGGCAGGGATGCCTCGCAGGCCACACGTCTGAGCTCAGCCTGCCCTGGGGACACTTGGGCGAGGCTCCTCCACCCGCTGCCCAGTCCTGCCCCGAGATGCTGCTTTTCCCTGGGCGGCTCACAGGTCAGACTGGGCCTGGATCCCCAGCAGGGTGCCGGGCGACGGTTCTCACTTTGTGCTACAACAAGAAACCAAAAACTAACACACACCAGCAGTCAAATCTTCTTAACTCCTCAGACAACAATAAAGTAAAGGGCAAAATCAACATGATTTGGCAAAGGTTTTTTAAACTTTAAATTAAAAAAGGAAACATTCTCAGAAGAGATCCGACTTATCGGCTTTGAGGAAAGTAAGTAGGTGTTCAAAAAAAATCCCCCAAATAATGATAAAAATAGCTGTATCCTCTGTAAAAATCTGGAGTAAATGATTAAGTCATTCATGGCTATTCAGTATTCAGAGCATGAAGTGAAATACCAAAGTATAAAAAAATTTAAAAAAAAAGCAATTAAGATATTGCTGTTGCACTAATAGCCTCAGCCCGTACACTGGCATGGGCACCCTGACCACAAACCGCCGGCAGCTACAGTGTGTCTGGTCCTTCCCACCCTCTGCAGACTTCAAGAGCTTCAAAGCTCTTCCTTGGTTCTGCTGCTCAGTTTTGTGGCATGTTCTTCTACAAACTTGCTCAGATGCTCCAGATCTCTGTCTCCGCCCTCAAATTTAACTGGGTTCTTTTTGTCCCCACTGGGGGCAAAGTAGATGGTGGGGAAGCCCTCCACCTTGTAGCGTTCGTTGGTGATGTCGTTGGCGGTGGCATCCATCTTGGCAATGACCAGGCCCTTCTGGCTCTTGTATTTCTTGGCCAGGCTGGTATACACGGGTTCCAGTTGCTTGCAGTGCCCACACCATGGTGCATAGAACTCAATGAGGACGTCCTTCTGGGGGTCCAAAACGATGGAGTCGAAAGTCTTCCCCACCACAACCTTGACCGGCCCCTTGTTGTTCTTGGGCACTGGCTGGGATTTGATAACTGGCTTCAGTTTTCCTGCCAAGGAAAGCAAGAGGGGGAGGGGCCATCAGTGCTGAAAAGTCCCTGGACACTGGTGCCTCTCTCTGGACCAGGCAGTGAGGCCAGCCTGACCCAGGAGGGCAGGGCAGTTGCCAGAGGGTGCAAGGCACACGACAGGGGCCAGAAAGAGCCTGACCAACTTGAAGCTGACTGATGCTACAGATGGACTCCCAAATCTTTTCTTGCTTTCAAAGTAAACACTGAAAGAATTGCCAAAAGGAAAAACAATATTCCCAAATGTCCTAAAGATTCTAAGCTGTTCTGGAGTTTGGGACCACAACTGGCCCTTCCCTGGACCAGGAGGTCACAGGGTCCCATGTATGCAGAGAGGAAAGGGCAGCTGGCTGACTTGGGGGCCTTGCACCCATGGCCAGAGTGCCAGACACCCCTCGGCCAGCCCAGGATGAGAGCTGCCAAGGAGACCTGGGTGCACGGCTCACCTTTTTTGAAAGCTGTGACAAACTCCCGGAGGGTGTCAGAGTCGAACCCCTCTGGCTCCATGGCGAACTTCTTCCCATTCTCGTCCAGGATGGCCGCGTTGACGTCCTCCCCACTCTCACTGAGCCCCAGGTCCCTCACCTCCGTGGCATAGTCCTCCTCATCAGCGATGGCGAAGGTGTACTCGGGGAAGTCCTTGGCCACCTCCAGGACTTTGCTCCGCCAAAACTGAGTAGCTGAAACAGATCAAGGGCTGTGAGCTGAACAGAGTGACAGTCCCAGCTCAGACTCTGAGGTGAAGCTTAAGATTCTGTTGCTGATATTCTCTGACACAGAACAAGCCTGGATTCACCTCTACTAGAGAGAAAAGCATTTCTGAAAGAGCCACACTTTGTAGCAGGTAGACCAACAGGCCCCTCGAGACCTGTGCAGGTGGCACAGCCAGGCTGTCAGGGGCTGGGTGAACTTCTTCTGTCTCTGAACTTCTCCTGTCTCTGAACTTCTCCAAAGCTTGGCTACCTAAACTCTAAGAGGGTTCTGGATTCAAGTCTAAGCTCCCCTCTTGCTAAAAAGGGAAGGAAAAAGGATAGTTACAAAGACGACTCTGAAGTCCTAACTTTAAAAAATCCACCGGAGCCACTAACCTATCAGGGCCCCAGGGCTGGATTTCTAAGTGAGTGAACTCCTCCCACCCCCGAGTCGCAGTGGGGGCCCCTCACCAACTCTGTAATCAAAGCTGAAGTCCACGCTGTAGTAGACAACCACCAGAGGACGCTTGGTGTACCGCTTGGCATCGTTAGAGGCCTTGCGATGGCCAACGAGGGGCAAGGCGTGCTTCACCACGTAGTCCTTGATGGCCGATCCCTCTGTAGAGCCCTGTTTCAAAGAGAACACAGGTGAGAGGGGTAGGCAGGATTAAAAAAAAAAAAAGCCTTCATTCAAAACTCACACCTCTCACTGCCATTTTTGCTTTGTTTTGAGTTGAAGTCTCACTGTCACTCAGGCTGGAGTGCACATGGCATGATCATAGTCACTGGCAACCTCAAACTCCTGGGCTAAGGTGATCCTTCCTCCTCAGTCTCCCTAGTAGCTGGTACTACAGGTGCACAACACCATGCCTGGCTACTTTTAAAAATTTTTTGTAGAGATAAAAATTTGTCTAGACCGGTCTTGAACTCCTCGGTTCAAGTGATCCTCCTGCCTAGTTCTCCCAAAGTGTTGGGATTACAAGTGTGAGCCACCATACCTGGCCTCATTGCCACTGTTCATGAGCACAACTGTTTGCTTTGAAGGGAGTCAGCATGGGGGATGAAGAGTGGAGATATCTGAAGGGATCTGTCTCAAAAAGTGCAACACTCTGGGCTTATCCCCATCCAAACACACCCCAATGATTCCTTGCTATCTTCTGGGGCTCTATTACCCCAGTGAACACTAGGTAGGCTTTTCAGGCAAAGGCAGACGCTACATACCCTTTCTCTTGGGTCTGGGCTCAAGGAAGGCCTGGCTCTCAGACTACAGGAGCAGTCAACATGGATTGAACAGTGTAGAATTTTCCATCTTCAGCTCCTGTGACCATTACAACAGTCCCAGGGGACACAATCCAGAGAACGAGGTTAAGTGAGGCCCAAACTCACACAGCTGGTAGTCAAGATGCTTGCACTCAGGCAGTCGATCCTTCTGCCTCAGCCTTCCAAGTAACTGGAACTACAGGTACGTGCCACCACGCCCAGCTAATTTTTTTATTTTATTGCAGAGACAAGGTCTTACCATGTTGCCCAGACTGGTCTCGAACCCCCAGGCTCAGGCAATCCTCTTGCCTGAGCATCCCAAAGTGCTGGGATTACAGGCATGAGCCACTGTGCCCGGCCGAGAAGTTACATCTTTTTTTGTTTTTTGAGTTGGTGCCTCACCTAGGCTGGAGTGCAGTGGCACATTCATGGCCACCCCAGCCTTGACCTGCTAGGCTCTGGCGAGCCTTCCTCCTCAGCCTTCCAAGCAGCCAGAATCACAGGCACGTGCTACCACACTGAGCTAATTTTTGATTTATTGTAGAGACTAGGTCTCGCCAAGTTGCCTGGGCTGGTCTTGAACCCGCGAACTCAGGCAATCCACTTGCCTCGGCCTCCCAAAGTGCTGGGATTACAGGTTGAGCCACCAAGTCCAGCTACAAGTTACATCTTTAATGTGCATATTATACAAGAGCAGTGTTACTTCAGGTAAGAATCTGGAAGCAGACAACACTGGAAGCCTGGCTGAGGTGCTTGTCACTGCTGAGACCATCCCTCCCTCCTGACATGCTGTCGTGAGGCTGCAGCTGTCCTTGGACAAGCTGAACAATGCAGTGTGTTAAGGCTGGCTGAGGAGGCTTTCCAGGTAGGATGTTTTAGTGTCAGGTGAATCCAACTCTGACATTACATGACACTCGTGACTAGGTGGGCTCAGTGGCGGCTGCTCTGAGGACACAGTCTCAGGTAGTCAGTGGAGAATGTGTGTGTGTGTGTGTACACGGGGTGTCCTGGAGGTAGGGGCTCCCACTTAGTAAGGACTGAGTCACTCACAGACATTGCCCTCACAACAGCCCCGTGGTGGGCACAGTGAGGTTAACTGTTTGCCCGAGGATGTACAGCTAGGAAGTGGTGGATGACCCTGAGAGCTCCAGAGCGCCCATCTGGGTGGGAGGGCCTTACTTGGGGGCGGGAGAGGGCGAAAGGGAGCAGAAGGCACTCAGGGAGAAAGCAGCAGGGACAGAGGCAGGGAACCAGGTGCAAAGAGGATCCTGTCTGATGGACTGGGTGGGTGGAATATGCTGGAAAAGTAGATAAAGAGGGCAGTGGAGACCACACTAAGGCACAAGACTCATTTTCCAGGTGGCAGGAGGTCATGGAGTCTGTAATCATAACAGCAACCGGAGTGAACTTCACTCAAAAGGCAAACTCCCAAGGAAAGCGGCAGTAGTGTAGACAGATGAGCCTGCCTGGATCTTCCTTAACCTCTGTGGGGTCAGGGATCCCTTCAAGAACCTACTGAAAGCTACAGACTCCTTTCCTGGGAACACATGCTCCCACAGACCTGAACCTAATTCCTTGGGGCCCACAGCGCTCCAAGTCCATCAGGGCTCCTCTTTGGACCCAGGATCTTATCCTTGGGTAGAAGGAAGAGAAGCTGGAGGGAGGAGTCACAGCAGCCACTGTTAAGTCCAGGGAGGCGGAGGGTGACCCTGAGACTCACATCAGTAGAGAAACAGAAGGGGTGGACACACAGGACTTGAGAGAGAAGCAACAGGACTAAAGACTAAGGGAAGAGATGGAGGACGGGGCAGCCAGAGGACATCAGGGTGGTCTTCCCAAGGTACTAGCGTGTTCCTGTGCAGAACCTGGGGGCTTATTCAATCATGTGCTCCCCCAACTCCAGATGTGTCCTACAGTTCAAACAGCAAGGTTCCCAGCACTGTGGAGCCTGCACAGACTGGTAAGGACCCCTGTATTCCCCTCTCAGCTCTGCCTCTCCCTAAGGGCTGCAGGGCCCCGTGTGTGAGCGCTCACATCTCTGCAGCTCAGTCTGTCAAATGAAAGCTTTGGATTCAACATCAAGATTGCTTCCAAATCTGAGATCTACTCACTGGGCCCCTTCGGAAGCCCTCGGAGCACTGAGCTGGACCCAGGCTCCCCAAGGCTGGGACCTCCCCCTTTGCCCTTCTATAGCTGGTGTATCACACGTAGGGGGTGGAGGGGAATACGTGCAGCAGTGGAAAGAAAGATCCACCTGCAAATCTCAACAGTTCCATCCAGTGAACAAAAAAGGGCTGCCATTGCCCTGCAGTCCTTGACCCCCGAGTCGCCTGCCAACCAATGAGACTGAGTGGCACATCCTGGCTATAAGCCACACCAGACACCCAGGCCAAGCCTACCATGAAACAGGTGCTGAGGGAGATGGGTGCTTGCCTGCCAGGAGGTATGAAAAGCAGGAGCAACTACTCTGGCAAAAGCAGTCAGCACCCTGCCAGGGGCCTCAGGTCCTGTGACTTGCCAGGTGTGCGAGAGCCCTGACCCCCCCAACCCTGTGCCTCCTGCAAACCTGTATCATGACTGCCTGCTGCCTGTGCTCCCGTCCAGTGCCTTCAGGGAACTTGTGGCCTGGGGAGAGGAGGTTGGGAAAGGGGCTCAAGATCCTACAGAGTGAAATCTCCATGTTCAAGATGACATGGCTCAAGCAGTTTTTATACTGGCGGTGCCCGGCATGGCCCTGGGGAGCCTTTGCTCACCTGAACGTCCATCACGTTGCTCCTGGGCTCATACTTGGACTGGAATTTCTCGGGCTGCATTACGACCAACTTCCCCAGGGAAACTTTCAAGAACTTTGCTATTTCAGTACTGAAAGTGTGGTGAAATTTGTAATCTTCTCTCAGGTTGTTAGCTGAAAAGTTAACAGAACAACACAATGCGATTTATTACACTGCTTAAATGTCTGAGGCCTAAACTGTTACCCACAGCAGCCAAAGCAAAGGCCCTGAAAAGTACCACCCTAAGTTCTGTGTGGACAATTCCTAAAGCTTAAACACTCAAAAAGAGTTTGTTTTTAAAAACTCATTACAGGCCGGGCTTGGTGGCTCAGTCTGTAATCTCAGCACTTTGGGAGGCCAAGGTGAGTGGACTGCTTGCGCCCGCAAATTTGAGACCAGCCTGGGTAACTTGACGAGTCCTCGTCTCTACAATAAATCAAAAATTAGCTAGGCATGGTAGTACATGTAGTTCCAGTTACTTGGAAGGCTGAGGCAGAAGGATCGCCTGAGCCCAGCAGGTAGATGCTGGGGTGGCGGCTGAATGTGCCACGGCATGCTAGCCTAGGCGACATAGTGAGATTCCAACTCAAAAAACTAAAAACAAAAAACAAAACTCGATACAGATATAGTATCTAATTCCTGTATGTTGGAATTTGTTAAAAAAAAAAAAACAAAACCAAAGGAATATTCACAAAAAACCTGGAACTAATCTTTCAGGAGCTACCATCGATTGACATCTTCAGTGATGAGAAGACACCAATTCTAGCAACAGAGCACGTGTGAGCACTGGACATTTTCCCCAAGCTGGTGGGCTGCCTGTCTGTGGGCTGGAGCCCTGAATGGCATACTTTGGCTATATATACTGTTACTTAAATCTTGAAGAAACTCTAAGGTGAAACTCTACTGTCTGAGGATGCTCTATAACAGGACTTGGTGAACTTTCTGGGAAAGACCAGGTGGTGCATAGTTTTGGCTTTGTGGACCACTTGGTCTGTCCCAACTACTTAATTCTGCTGTTGCAGTGGAAAGGCAGCTGGACAGCGTGTGTACCAAGGAGTGTGGCTATGTTCCAAAGAAACTTAACTTACAAAGACAGGTAGTAGGCCACACCAGGCACATGGGCCAATTTGCCAACCCCTGCCCCAAATCCTACAGGTAAATGTACCTTTAGTTCCTCCCCTCTCCTCTCATTGAGGTATCCAAACCTATTATGAGGCGATTCTGAGATTTAAACATCGGGTGTCATTCCACTGACAAAGGGCTCTTGGCCTAGAGGTTTGGGATGCCCAACTGGGTTATAGGATGCATATATAAGATGATAAGTCATGTTTTGGGGAAGGTAGAGGGAGGGAGCAGTAGCCTGGATGAGCTTATGGCTTTCAGAATCAGAAAGACCTAGATTCAAGTAATAATTTTGTGTAACTTTAGGCATGTTAGTTATTAACCTGCCAAGCCGCTGGGTACAGTGGCTTATACTTATAATCTCAGTGCTTTGAGGGGCTGACGTGAGAGGATTGCCTGAGTACAGGGGTTTGAGATCAGCTTGGGCAACTTGGTGAGACCTCATCTCTAAAATAAGTAAAAAAAAAAAGTTAGCCAGGTGGAGCATGTCTGTGGTTCCAGATACCTGGAAGGTTGAGGCAGAAGGATCACCTAAGCCCAGGAGGTTGAGGCTACGGTGGCTGTGACTGTGCCCCTGCACTCCAGCCTGTGTGAGAGAGACGCTGACTCAAAAAAAAAAAAAAGTGGCCCTGTCAGCTATGTGTAATGGTAATGAGGACAACAGGGACCCGGACCCAGCACCAGTATGGAAAACTTATTCCCAACACATGTGATCTCAATTCTTCCATCAAATCATTTTTAAAACATATCCCAGGAGCTTTATGCAAAAGCAGCAAATGCAGAAGCCTTGAATGCATGCATCTTGTTCAGCCCAGAGGGCCACGACTCACCAGCATCCTGATACTGCTGGTAGGCTGGGTCACTCTCCCCCTTAAAAATGCCAATGATGATGGCATCATCTCCATCCTTCAGGAACTCCTGGACCTGCTTCATGGACAGAATCTCCTTGGAAGGAGGCCCAGACTGCTCGATCATGTAGTCAACAATCCCTGGAAGCAGAGCACACATCTAAGGAGGGGGCCTCAAAACTGCCTGCGTCCTGCTGTCTGCATCTGCCTGCACCTGCCCACACCTGCCTGCTCCCAGCACTTGCCAGGGCAGCTTTCTGTCAGGTAGCCTCCTTTCCCTACTGTGGGTGGAGAGATGGAATTGGTCATACCATATTTTTCTCGTGGGCCGTTGTAGTCAAAAGGCTTTCCCTTGCGGAAAATTTTCAGGGTGGGATAGCCAGAGACATCAAACCTCTTGGCCAGGTCTGTTTCTGTGGTGGCGTCTACTTTTGCCAGTGGAATTGGAGGAGAGCGCTTGCTGAGCTCCTTGGCGGCCTTCTCGTACTCAGGAGCAAGTTTCTTGCAGTGTCCACACCTGCCAAGAGGAAGTTGGTGTTGTCAGGGGCCTTCCAGTGTGGACTTGCCTTCCAGCGAGATGAAGCACAGAACTCGCTCCGTGTTCTCAAGCACCTTGTCCATGTCCAGCAAACTTCTGAATACCTCCTAGATGAGGGTGCCAAGCCAGACCCCCGAGAGCTACAGCAGAAGACACGTGCTTCCTTCCACAGTATTCACACACTGAGGTGACACACACGAGCATCAGTAACTGCAGCACAGGGTAAGGCATGAGAAAGACCAAGACAATGTCCCAAGGGAGAATATCTTCCTGGTTGGTGCCCACAAAGATATACACCAGGGATGACTTCACAGAGGGAGTACAGTTGAGCTGGGACCTGAGGGACAGGGAGGAATTAGACAGAAGCCTATGAGAGGCAGGGTGGTGGGAGGGCCAGCGGACCCAGGTAACAATGTGAACAAAGGCGCGAAGAAAGGAAGAGTGTCACAAATCCTCACCGACACAAACCACCCGGGGAGAAGACGAGTGTGAGTCAGGGAAAGAACTACCTAGCTCCTGTCTGGACAACAAGAACCCACAACTCACACCTGGCCCGGCCACGTTGTTGTGGGCTCTCAGTTAAGATAAATTATTATCTTGTCAAAGTCCTTAGGACACCCAAATGAATAAAAGGATAGACCCTGCAACATGACACTATTTATCGAGTAAAAGGAGAATTGTTTGCTGAGGCATCATAAAACCCATGAAGGTCTGCTGGTCTGCTCACCCTAGCTCCTGAGCGATATAGAGCAACCAGCCAGGAAGATGTCATGGTCACTGTTCTTCCTGCCAGCTCCCACCTCCCCACCAGACCAGGGTCCCTTGTGCAGCAAAATAGGGGCCAGTGTCTCAGTGCAGCAGGGCTACAAGGGTGCCTCAGGCCTGCCCGCTCCCTACATGCCCCAGATGTTTCCTTCCTCCTCCCCCAACTCATCTCGTTCTCCAACCACCCACCCGTCTTCTCTTTTCATTTGTGCACTGAAACACGCCCAGGTCCAGTGGTCTCTGCGGCAAAACCCAGAGACCTTGGGTTTAAGCTCGTTCAGGTACTGCAGAGCAAGGGTGTCCTAGCCACAAGCCCAACCCTGCTAACTGTTAAGCCCACAAGCTTCCTCTCCTCAGTGACTCCCCAGGGGCTCACCTACAGAACACCTCCAGGTGAGGCCATTCGTGCTGGCCTGGTAGTCAGGTTCCTGTTTCAATTTCGCTGGCTTCTGTTCTGGTCTATACAGCACATCCTGACAAACTAAGCCCTCTCAAGAATCAGAACCATGACAAAGTCACCAAGATAAATGATACCTCGGGCCATTTCTTGAGAAGGCAGATGGCCTCTCCTGGAGCTATGCTCACCTCTCCCTTAAAAACAGTCTTTCTTTCTCTTTGCTCTGTCTACTCTGACTGCTCCCTGGCTTACCCAAGCAACTGATCATGCCTCCCTCCCCTGCCCATGAAGCATCCACCTCTGTTCTCCAAGTAGGTCACCCTACAAACCAGCCACCTGCACTCACTCCCGCTCTACCTCTCTTTCTGGCATCTTCTGTCCTTTGGGCCCCTTCTCCTACTCAAGAAAGGACTACCTGGCAGCAGTATCCACACTCACTCCTCCAAAAGCCCTCTTCTAGGAGACCTGGTGCTACAAGCCTCTCCCTACAACTTGTGTCCACCATGCTCTGCTCTTTGCTTCACCAGTGTGGCATCTGCCAGCCTGCATCTAGTGTCCGGCAGGGTGCTGAATACAGGAAGTATCTCAACCATATGAAGCTGACACCATCTTACCAGGGGGCATAAAACTCCACCAGCATGATTTCGGCATCATTCACAACTTCGTCAAAGTTGTCCTTGGTCAACACAAGTGTGACTTCTGGTGGAGGCGTCCAATCGGGCTGGGAGACTTCTTTCACCTTAGCAACAATTTCTGAAAGAAACCAAGCAAGGCTGAGCACATGGAAACCTGAGCTGGCAGGTTCCTCCCCTGCCCCCAGAAGCAGGTGGGGATGAGGGAAGGGGTGAGGACAGGAGAGAGTGGCAGGGCTCATAAGAGCAGGAAATGTATGACTTCCTGAAATCCAACTACATTCCTAGTCAGGGCCACCTCCATAGTTTAAGGATACAGTTCAGAGTCAGAAGGTCCACTGTTTTCCAACCGCCTTCTGTCCTATTTCTGCTGCCACACACACGACCTGCGAACTTCTCCAGAAAGCCCAAGACTTACTTAGCAACACGACAAAGCAGGCTTCCTGTATTATCAAACTATGGCACTAACTCCAAGAGAATCCCCACCAGCCATCTCCCGATGGTTTTGACCACATATGCCTACTTATATAATTTGGGGGCATCCTCTTAACACACACACATTGTGTATGTATTTAGTTATACATATCCAGCACCAGTATATCATACATATCACATATATCATGTGGAAAAGAAAATGAGAAAAATGTAAAAGCAGAGCAATAGCATCACTGGGGAAGGATAAAAAATAAAACCCATTTGTGGCCTCATTCCCCAGATATGGACTCAGTGACTGGAGTGGCACACAAAAATGTATTCTTTTTTTTTTTTTTTTTTTTTGAGTTGGAGTCTCACTCTGTCGCCCAGACTAGAATGCAGTGGCCGCTCCTGGCCACCGCAGCCTCGACCTGCTGGGCTCTGGCGATCCTTTCGCCTCAGTTTTCCAAGTAGCCGGAATTACAGGTGCGTGCTACCACGTCCGGCTAATTTTTTGATTTTATTGTAGAGATGAGGTCTCACCTGCCCAGGTGGGTCTCGAACCCGCGGGCTCAGGCAATCCACTCACCTCAGCTGCCCAAAGGCGCGGGATTACAGGCTGAGCCACTGAGCCTGGCACAAGAATGTATTCTTACAAAAAACTTGCTAAGTGGTTCTTAGGCCCAGTGGTTGCAAACTCTCGCCTCTTTTTCACTGTAGTATCCAGCAAGGGGCCAAGTCTAGAATACTCCTGCAAAGCAGCAGTACCTTCTTGGCATATTCACAGCAGAAACTACCTGCCCCGGCCACACCCAGAGGTCCTGAGCTAGTTAAGCCAGTTAACATGGGAGGAGGCCCATTTACTACAACATGCTCTAAAGGTTCTAAGACGGCCACGTCCCTCCTGGTCAAACACCGGGCACAGACCTCCAATACATATGCCTACATACTTGTAAACAATAAAAGTATAGTACTTTCAACTTGTTTTTAGATTAAGGTCCTTATGTACTAACATGGCTAAGACATATTTGCTAAATAAAAACACGAAGGTGCAGGTTAGTATTTAAGATATGGTAACAACTATAAAAATGAGAAAATTATACACATACACAAACATATTTCCCTTTACATATGCACAACGTTTCTAAACAATACAGAGGAAACTCGTTATACTAGCTGGAGGGGAGCTGGATCATCCAGGTTCAGGGTAGAAAGATTATTCATTAAGCTACCTCCTTGAATTACAAAACATATTAAACATATTACCCAGTCAACAGACAGACAAACGCACTGTGCCACTAAATGTCAATGGAAATGACCCCAAAATGAGTTCTACTGCTTGAAGAAGCAGAGAAGAGCCTCTCACACCAACATGAAGGAGCTCTGAGATCACGTCCATCTGAATCTGACCCTGTGTTCTGCAGGTTAAAAACCCAGGACCCAGAAAGGGGAAGACACTTGCTGGGACACAAGCCTATTCATGGGTATGAAGATCTGAACCCTATTCGATGTTCTTTTCACTGTGCCACACTAGGAATGGAAAATGCAGCATCACCCCCCCCATTTTTTAGTGATTAACAGAGATATGTCCTTGTTAAAGGATACAATTTCACTTGTTCATTTGTTTAATAAAATGTATGCAGTGTCTAATGTGAGCCAGGCAGGGATGCATCAGGCCAGATTGCAGACGCCCTCGGCAATCTCATGGATGTGGCTCTCTGTACCTGCGGTTTCCAGCTTGTGGCTCAGGACCAGCAGCACTGGCAAGCCCTGCATGCTTGTAAGAAATGTAAATTATCTGGCCCGACTTGAGATTCACTGAATCAGAAACTGTTGGACTGTGGCCCGGTAATCTGTCTGAAAAAGCCCTCCAGGTGACTCTGACGCATGCTAAGCATCAAGAACTACTGCTCTAGAACACCACCATTACTTCCTAACACTCCTGCTCCAGATCCTGAATTTCATGGTCTGAAATGGGAAGACACCTCTCCCATCCAAGAATGAGTTTAATTTAGATCTCAGTTAACCCAAATATTCTACCAGAGCTGCTGTTCCTAGGAAAGCCAGTCCTTAGTCCACTCAACTTTTCTTCCTTTCTGTTATCCAAATTCCCACTCTCCACATATTCAGAAGTTCCTGGGGGGAATGAGTCCTCTACTAGCTCACCTTCCTGGGTCCTGGAGCCATCGTAGTCAACAGTCTGCCCTTTCTTAAGGATCTTGATGGTGGGATAGCCACTCACGTCAAACCTACTGGCCAGTGTGGATGCTGAGGTTGCATCGATCTTAGCAACAGCGATGGGAGGATCATTATCCTTTAGGATGGTAGCAATTTTTTCATATTCTGGAGCGAACTGCTTGCAATGTCCACACCTAATCATTAGATTTAGGGAAGAAGAAATAGGTTAGTTGCACCTATTGGAATTTAAATTCATCAAGAGCTATGGTCTGGATTTGATTTTTTTTCCCGCCAAAACTCATGTGGAAATTTGATCCCTAATGTGGCAGTGTGGGGAAGTAAGGCCTTAGTGGTAAGGGCTTGAGTCATGGGGCAGATTCCTCACGAATAAGCCAGTGCCTTCCCAGGAATGTGAAGTGTAGGCTTCCTCCCTCCCTCACCATGTGATCTCTGCACATGCCCCTTTCCACTTTCTACCAAAAATGGAGGCAGCCTAAGGCCCTCACTAGAAGCTGAGCAGATGCTGGCTTCACACAGATCTAGGTTTGAATTCAGCTCTGCCCTGGGGAAATACTTTCAACATCTAAACCTTGGTCTTTCCATCTGTAAATTTTTCAAAGTTTGGTGCAGTGACCCCTTTCAGGAGGTCTTGTGAAGGCAAAATTCTTTAGACATTGTTTGTCTTTTATACTCATTCTGAGTCTGAAGTAGTTTTCCAGAGGTTCCCTGACTTGCAAGGATGTCAGTATTCTAATGTTAACATATAATGAGCTGTTGTTATGCCCAACTAATTTTTCTTGATTTATTGTGGAGATGAGCTCTCTCCAAGTTGCCCAGGCTGGTCAGGAGTCCTCAATTTTTAAGAGTGTTAAAGAGTCTTTTGTCTAGAAAGTATGAGAACTGATGATGTATGGAATAAGAAAACATAACCTGTTAAACTTGTTAAAAGGACTATTTATTTATTTATTTTTGAGTTGAAGTCTCATTCTATTGCCCACACTGCAGTGCAGTGGCACGCTCATGGTCACCACAGCCTCGACCTGCTGAGCTCAGGTGATCCTTCCACCTCAGCCTTCCAAGTAGTTGGAACGACAGGCACGTGCCACCATGCCCGGCTAACTTTTTGATTTACTGTATAGAGATGAGGTCTTGCCAAGCTGCCCAGGCTGGTCTCAAACATGTGAGCTCAGGCAATCCTCTTACCTCGGCCTCCCAAAGTGCTGGGATTATAGGCGTGAGCCACTGTGCCCATTCCAAAAGGACTATTTAGATGTTTTATATAAAACCCTCATGCCGTCTTGACCATCAGGCACTGGATACACAACATGAGCATATCCTGACTTCTTGATCTCAGAAGCAAAACAGGGAGGGTAGAGGACAGAGAAAAGTAAAGCAGGGCTTATAACATATATACGGCAGGGATGGGGAAGGGAAAGATTGTAATGAACTGCATCAGGAGAGGAAGGGATAAAAGAAGTGGGGGGTACCTGACTGTTCCCTCCAGGGCCTGTGTGTGCAATAAAAACACTGCACACAGGTCAAAAGCCTGCACTTGGGACATTGGCCCTGGTGGGAAGAGGGAGGCGGAGTGGCCTGGTCAGGGCAGAATCTGCAACAAGGACGTGTCTGTTTCCAGCACAGGGCTCTGTGTCATTGCTGTTTGTCAAACGGCCATCCCTGAACTGTGACCATCACAGGACGTATTCATATATAACCCACTGGATAGAGGACACTGCCTTCCATGAGGGCTGGCTCATGGAAAGCAGTGGGACAACTGAGCTCCCAGCTTCTAAATCTACACTGCGAGTTCTTGCCCTGTAGATGACCTTGTGAGGTGTCAAGTGTGTGAAGCACAGGGCTTGTCTACCTGCAGGAACTAGATTGTGGTCCTTACCAAGGAGCGTAAAACTCCAGCAGCACTGTGTCTTTGTCAGCTACAAAGTTATCGAAATTTGCGTCATTTAAGACCAAGACGCCATTTTCTTCCTTAACTTCCAAATCGTCTTCCTCATCGTCATCATCTTCCTCCTCCTCTTCCTCTTCATCCTCAATAGCATTTTCTCTATTAGAAGAATCTGAATAGAAAATACTCAGACTGGTTAGGAACCCAGCAACTCTCCTCCACCTCAAAACTTTCCTAGAACCCAAAAGTTCAAAAGGTGTCTTGAGTCCTGGTGACATCAGGCTTCCTCCACGCCAGCAATTCTGCTCTAAGTTTGCCATTTAAGATTTCATTAAAAGGGAGGTCATGGCTAAACAATATTTAAAAACAGTTCTAGAATTTAAAGTCCAAATGCCCCAGCAGGAGCTAGAGGGCAGAAAAGGGTCCTCTCCAGGTTTGCTTGTGGTCCTCTGCCTTGCTCTGCATACTTCCCACCAGGCATGGACAGTCCCAGCACTGGCCAACCACCCCCCCACCCATTGCACTGTCCTCTGCAATCTTCCCAAGGTCTCACCCCTGTAGCATAGGCTCTTCTACTCACATCCTATGTTTTGCATCTCAGGAGCACCTCATTTTGTGATTCTTCCCACGTCTGTGTTCAAGGGCAAGGTTACCTTTCACTGATATGCCCCCTCTCCACCCCCATATGCTTTCCACAGGTAGGCCTCAATAAAGCCTCCCAGGAACAAATTGCCTGCCTGGCCCCCAAAATAGTACAAAAAGGAAAACAGTAGTCATCCTTGACTTTTCATTCTGGGGTATAAATTACTAATTCAATTTCTGAAAGGGGGTGGCATTTTACCTCACTGTCGAAAAATAGCTCTATGGGTTGTATGTCTAGAGGGAAAGGCTGAAGTATGAGAAGAGGGTGGGGAATCATATTTTACTTATAAAGTCACTCCTGAGTAATCTCCAGGGTGGAAGTTATTTTGGGATGACAAATTTAGAAATGTATGGGGCCAGCATGCACCAAAAATTATACCTTTGCTTGGAAGCTAAATTTTCTTCTCAAAATGTGAGAAACTGTGTATGTCTCACCATGGAGGTTCAATCTAATTTTTTTGCCAAACTACAGATATAAAGAAGTTCAGAACTGCCATTCTTATTAGCTAGGTTGTTCGGCTGTTCGGCTACTGTTACATCAGTAAACAGAACCAAGTGTGGCAAGCACAGTTAATTTCATTAACTCTGAAGTTAGAATGTTTCAAGCGGCCAATTATTCTTTCTGGAGATACATCCCTGGAGGTAAGTCAACACTGCTAGTTATTGTTTGGCGCTGTGGGTGAGATCTCGGTCTGAAAGCCTAAAACCCCTGGGACTCGCATTGTGGACTCTGCAGCTTCTTGAACCAGGGTGGGACCCTGCATGGCACCTCAAGGTCCCACCATACTCAGCTCCTTCCAGCCCCATCTGCAGTCTGGGTGGGGTGGGTAGCACTGTTCATCATCAGTTTGCCAATCTGCAAACAAATTACAAAAAGCCAACAAAAAACCCACTGGCACACAAATCACCTCTTTTCCCTTTAAACATCCACTGCTTTGTCCTGACTTGTACATTCTTCTCTCCAACTTAAGGCCGAAGCTCATCCTCTTTCGGGGGAGGGAGAAACAAAATGCCAAAAGCAAACCCATCAATCTGAGACGACTGAGCAGGCTTTGTGATCCTACCTACCCTCCCCCTACCCCCCACAGCAGACACTCCCTTGGCACCATCAGCAGGGGGGCTGGGAGGATGGGCAGGGGCAGGGCCAGGCCACCTCCTCCTCTGGGGTCTAGGGAATGTGTGAGGAGACAGCCACCGCTGAGTGTGAGCACAGGCAGGAGCCCACACAGCAAGTGCTTTCTGACATTTCCCTGAGGAGGAGAGGATGGTTTCCTCACACTGGAGATAATCCAATGTTCTCAAGCTTCTCCTGTCTCTATTCAAATCTTTCTAGGCACCAGAGGATGGGGGTGGGGGGCAGCTTCCTCACACTGGAGATAACCCAATGTCCCCGAGGTTTCCTATCTTTCTATTCATCCACTCACATTTTTTTCTAGATACCTGAGAATGGGGAGGAAAAGAACTTATGCTCTGTGGTAGAGCTTGTTTCTTCACACTACACTAGACCCAATCCCCTTCCACTCATATCTGGCAGCCCGCATTACATGCCCTGGTCCTCATGAATCAGAGGACCAAATGCTCTTGGGAACCTCTGAGCTTAACACTGGCTCACTAGGGGTCACGGTCACTGCCCTGGACACTTCCAGGAATCAGGCCCACAGCAATCCTGTAAGGAAAGCACTGAGTTGCCCTATGCTGACCTGTGGGATGCTAATCATCGCTACTTTCCAAAAGGCTGGTCTGAACATCCCTCACTTGAAAGTCCACCCAAAATGACTTGGGGGCTGGATGCAGTTTCTCTACTCTAGCTGGGGGCTAGTAGGCACGCACTTCCCACCCGCAGTCGACATGTTCACATGGCCCTTTATTGGTGGTTAGAGTTTTTGGGCTGTCTCCATATTCACCCTCACTGGCTGGCTGCTCTGCCAGTAAGGCAGATGGGAAGATTGGAGGAAGGTTAGAAAGAAAGCACTGGGGAACGTAGTCCAGTCTTCTAGCTAGGACACACAGCCAGGAGAGAAGGGGACTGCAATAATAGGTTCAGTGCATGGGTATAAGGGACTGTGAGCATACCATTGCACTTCAGCCTGGGCGACAGAGACTCCAGCTCAAAAAACAAACAAATGACAACAAAAAGAAAACAAAACAAAATATATCTAAGCCTTCCAGCACCTTCCGAAAGGGTATAATCTTTCTTGGCATGAGGCAGAGTGATGTTTACAGTGAAGAGACCTGAAACATGGTCACACAGGCAAGTCCTTTCCAGAGTGAATCTGGAAACAAAGATTTTTTTTTTTTTTAACCTATGCTCAGCCTAAAGTGGATTCCCAACACTACCAGTGATGGAGCCCTTGTGAGTAAATGGGTATTCATGAGTTACCATAGGACAGAGCATTCCTAAGGGGCAACTTATTTTTTGACACTTTAAAAAACAATTTCAATATCTTTTTAAAGGAAATCCCCTACATAAGGAAGGCCTCGCAACTGCATTAAGGCATGGCTCCTACCTTTCCATTCCTCTTCAACTCAGACAATCCCAGGACTGATTCCTCTGCAGTTTGAGAAGGTGCTAGCTCTATATTTCTATCTACTAGAAATCCGCACACCCAGGCCACGTGCAATGGCTCACGCTTGCAATCCCAGCACTTTGGGAGGCTGAAGCAAGAGGACTGCTTGAGTTCAGGAGTTCAAGACTACCCTGGACAACACAGTAAGACCTCATCTCTACAAAAAACCCCCCAAAACCTAAAAGTTATCCAGGTGTGGTGGTATGGACCTGTAGTCCCAGCTACTCAGGGGGCTGAGATGGGAGAATCATCCGAACCCAGGAGGTCAAGACTGTGCCTGTACTGTGCCATGTACTCTAGCCTGGGCAACAGAGTGAGACACTGGCTCAGGGAAGGAAAAAAGAAACCCACACATCCATGTAAGCAAAACACCTCACATTTTAATCGGGAGACCACTTTTCACTGGGCTTAACTTTTAAAGTAGACATTCAGGATAGAAAATATATACAGGTCAGGCACAGAGGCTCACACTTGTAATCCCAGCACCCTGGGAGGCAGAGTGGGAGAAGTGCCTCAGTCCAGGGGTTTGAGACAAGCTTGGGCAACTTGGGGAGATAAAAAAATTAGTCAGGTCTGGTGGCATGCCTGTGGTTCCAGCTACTTGGAATTCTGTGGCAGAAGGATCTCCTGAGCTCAGCAGGCTAAGGTTGCGGGGACCGTGAGCATACCACTGCACTTCAGCCTGGGTGACAGAGACTGGCTCAAAAAACAAACAAATGACAACAAAAAGAAACTATATCCAAACCTTCCATCACCTTCCAAAAGGGTATAAGCTTTCTTGGCATGAGGCAAGAGAGGTGTCTCTCATTCATTTCCACATTGCTTTGCCCACACAGCAAGGCCACTCCTGAAACATGGGGCCTCTTGTCTAACAACAGGTTGCTGCAACCTCTGTCCACTTCTAAAGAACACACCTGATGCCAACACTGGACCCTTGCCCCACCAGGACACAGACAGCTTCTTCAAGGATGTTCTCACTCTTACTCTGGGTCCTCACCTGGTCATTCTCTAATCCCCAGCAGAGAAGTGCTAATGCCTGGGTAAACTCTGCCATTAGGCTAATACTGGATAGTTCATATCAAACAATGAGAAATTTGTGATTAGCTACAGTCTCTTTGCAAATTACAGGTATTATGTGCCAAGCACTGTGCTGAGCTCTTAAACACACCAATTGATACATGCACTTTACAGATGAATAAACCGAGGCACAAAGAACTCGAGTAAAGTAAAAAGTTACTTTACTTAGTGGAGCGGGCTGCCCATTAACTGCTTTGCGGTATTGCCACAATAGATTTTCTCCCCAATATGCCCAATGTTTTTGATAGAATTGTTTAGATTTTCTGCATTTTTAGGGCACTGAAAAGAATTACATCTCAGTAATGAAAAAAGGGGGGCAATTTAACAGTTCCTTAGCATGCACACCAAGTGAAATTCCACTTACTTTTAAATCTAAACAAATCTTATCCTAAATAAAAACAGGCAACAAACAGGATAAAAATATTTTCCTTTCCCATTTAACTAGAAGGATGTGAAAAGTACAGGCGACTTCTAAGCTGAGACATGTAACCTGAAGCTTAATCCATCAGGGCTTAAGGTGAATTTAGTTACTACATTGGGGGATGGGGGGAGATTTAGGTGTCCAGACACCACTGTGCTGTTTGAATCTGAAACGCAATAGAGGCAAACAAAACAAAACAAAACAAGAAAACCCTAAATTCTTGGTATATCAGGGGTAGGGGGTAGTATAGCACCAAAATAAATCTGTCGGACAAGTTATATGCAACAGGCTTTGAAAATGAAGGACCAAGGGCCCTCAGAAATGGGAGAGTCAAAGATCTAGAAGCTCTGCCCATAGTACAGGCCCTTGGCCATGACAACCACAGGGATTCCTGGGCTCACTCCATGGGCAACTGCTTCCCAGGAACACTACTACATCAGTGATCTGTGACCCAAAGGATAAACTCACTGGTTCTAACAGTCCTGGAAGTCCACCCAAGTTTGCCACTCCCCCAGGCCTCTCAAGAATCCCTCAAGACAGAATCACTGGATCAAAACTAAGACAAAACTACAGTGCTTTTTAGCTGTTTCTTCCAAAAAGCACCCTCCACTGATACTGGCCCTCAAACTCCATTGTCTCCCAAAGTCGATTCTGCCTATGGCTCAGTGCAGAACTTGCCTAAAACAGATTCCAGGGCCCCTCCCCTGCATTCTGCTGCAGTATATTTTAGCTATCTGTATTTAAATAAGCACCCAGGTGATTTGGGTAAAGGTCCCAAGGCACACTTGTAGGCAGTCCCGCTAGCTGGGTTCCTTTCGGCAGGTGTTAGATTTCTGAGCGCAGGTTTTCACTTCCTTTTGATTCTGGGCAAAGACTCTTTTTAACAAAAGTGACCCATGAAGAAGTTACTCAACCTGTTTGAAAGAGTATAAAGTCCACAATTCCCCCGCACACTAATATTAGACAAGGGGGTTTATTTATATTGGAACAAACTCAGTATTCAAAAAGGCAGAGAGGAAGCGGGTTAAGACCTGTACTGGGATGCCCTGTTCTCTAGGAGTAACAATCTTTTCTTCACTAGTACTTCCCGCTTTTCAAAGTTCTTTTATGTTTGCAGCTGATTGACTTCGAAGAAAAATGCAGCAAGATGATTAGTGGCTGCATTATTCCTACTGGAGTGCGTGCTTCATGGGCAGGGACCACACTCACCATCCTTTCCACTCAGAACCCATCGCAGTGACAAGTACAGAGTACGTGCTAAATGAACGTTCGCAGCAGAAATGGCACCCCCAGTTTCCAAAAGGCGCAGGCCAAGCCATCCCTTTCTCTCTCAAACCAGAACGCCTGCATTTCCAAATCTACAGGCCACGTTTTTTAAAAAGTAAAATACTCGCTGCCCGCGGCGGCTCCAGAGAACTCCCACTGGGATTCCTCACACCCTCGCCCCCTCTCTAAACCCTGTCTTCAAAGCAGGGGCCCCTTCTTCCTTCCCACTCGCTGGGCGTGTTCGCCTGGAGAGTCAGCCTGGACCTGGGGAAAACCTGAAGATTAAGGCAAAGAAGCCCGTTGCAAAAAAAAAAAAAAAAAAAAAAAAAAAGGCACTTTGCACCCCAAGACCGGGGTGGCAGGGGCCTTTCGGGGAGTCGGAGCTCAAGATGCCCCAGCCCCGCGGCCCCGGACTCTCGGCCGTCCTCCTCCCCCGGGATCCCGAAAGCGACCCTGCCCCCCGCTACCGCGACTCCAACTCCAGCAAGTTTGCACCGGGCGCAGCGTCTGTCGCGGGTTCTGGAGAGGATCCGCGCGGAAGCCCGATCGGTCGCCGGGGGCGCACCGCCCGCGGGCCCCGCACAGGCTTGCAGCCCGCTCACCTTCGTCCGTCTCCCCTGCGCTCGCCACGGCCAGCAGCTGCGCCAGCGCCAAAAGCAGCACGAGCAGGCAGGCGTTCCGGGGCCTCATGGCGGCAGGTGCGGAGCAGGCCTCCTCGCGTCGGCGCTGCTGGGCACTCCGGGTCCGGGCGACCGCCCCTCAGCTCCCGAGCTACGAGGGAGGGAAGGAAAACCCCCTCAGGAAGTCTGCCCCGGCGATTGGCTGGGGGCGGAGGAAGCCGCGGGCTGACCAATCCCGGCGCGACGCCGGGCGCGGGCCGCGTGCGCCTGGTTTGCGTCGAGCCGCCCTTCGCCGCCCCAGGCTCTCCTCCGTCCTCCGCGCGGCCCTCGGCGGCGCGTTTAAAACTCCGAGCCCTAACATGAGGTGCCCCCTTCCGATTGGCTGCGCCGCGGCCACCAATCAGCGGCTGCCACTCGGTTTGCGAGGAGCGCACAGGCCCAGAGAGGGAGCGGGGGAGAACAAAGGAGGAGGGCCGGGCCTGGAGGGGCGTGACTTGTGTACGCCTCGGGGTTCGATTGGCCGGAGGTGCAATGGGCGGGGCGGGGCCTGGGGAATGCGGGGCGGGGCAAAGCTCCGCTTCCTGCAGCGGAGGTTGGCAGGAAGAACACGTGTCGGTAGTGGAGCGGTGGGACGCTGGCCTGCGTGTGCAAGCCGCTGGGACCCGGGTCAGCTGGAGACCCAAGCGGGCGGAGGTGCACGAGCCAGTCTGTTGGTGGGAGAAGGAGAGAAAGCGGCGCCGAGTCTGTTACATGCTCGTGGGTTTCTGTATTTTTTTCTTGCGTAAACAGAAGTTTGCATTTCTTTCCGGGATTCTAGGCTATAGGGCAGGGATGAGCATGCAGTGAAGTGAATACAGACTAGGATTTGGGAACGCCTGTCTCCACGGTTTCATCTGTGAACAAGCCATGATTCTTACCTAAACTTTGCCTCGTGTTAATTTCTCTCGTGACTTTTTGCAAAAGAGAAATACCAGATAAGCAATCTAGTGGTTTACAGAAATCTAAATATAGTCTTGAGGGTTTCCCTCTTGACCACTTTGGAGAAGTAAACTAGGTTAAGATAATGATTTTTGTATATCAGAAAAGGAGCCTGTGATGCATATTAGGGTTTGAGGTTTGTTAACACTTGGGAATTCGTATGTCTGAAGAATTACAGGGAACAACGGCAAAAATACTTCATTGAAAGTAGGAAGAAAGTGAGTGACTGACAAACATTAGTAATAAAACATTTTTTTTTTTTTTGAGTTGGAGTCTCACTCGGTCGCCCAGACTGGAGTGCAGTGGCCGCTCCCGGCCACCACAGCCTCGACCTGCTGGGCCCCGGTCATCCTTCCCCCTCAGCCTTCCGAGTAGCCAGAATTACAGGCACGTGCTACCACGTCTGGCTAATTTTTTGTTTTGTTTTGTTTTTGATTTATTGTAGAGATGAGGTCTCGCCTGCCTGGGCGGGTCTCAAACCCACGGGCTCAGAAAATCCACTCACCTCAGCCTCCCAAAGGCACAGGATTACAGGCTGAGCCACCGAACCCGGCTTTTTTTTTATTTAATAAATTTTTATCGAACTCCTATGAATCTCATGGTTCCTGGTCAATTTTGTAAGGCAGAAAGGCATAATATAACTTTAATGCCAGAGTATACACTAGTGATTTATTAAAGTGCTATTAATGTGGACTGTCAAACAGTTTCATATCATTTCTTCAAAAAGATAGAGCCCAGTCAGAATTTTCATCTTCTCATGAATTCTTAATGAAACTCAGAGGAATGAGGGCCCCACTTGCCCAAATGTGGGACAAATACAACCTGTTTCACTAATGCTCTTTGTCTAGAGGCATGGGAGGAAATCTCTCAAAGTACAGTCTATGTAGCCATACTCCTTGGCTCATGAAGATTTTATACTGAAATGAGGACCCAGGTCTGCTCAGAACTCTTAGCTGCTCAGGCAGCTGCTTGAGGATGCCTACCATATCCCTTAAAACCATTTTGTGCATAGCTAAGACACTACCCAGAGTCTATCATCACATTTTAGAATGCAATGATATTTCTGCTGGTGGAATTTGTTGTTGTTGTTGTTGTTGTTTTTGAGTTGAAGTCTCACTCTCGCTCAGACTGGAGTGCAGTGGCCGCTCCTGGCCACCGCAGCCTCGACCTGCTGGGCTCCGGCGATCCTTCCGCCTCAGCCTTCCAAGTAGCTGGAACTACAAACGTGCGCTACCACGCCCGGCTGATTTTTTTGATTTATTGTAGAGATGAGGTCTCTCCAAGTTGCCCAGGTGGGTCTCGAACCCGCGGGCTCAGGCAATCCACTCACCTCGACCTCCCAAAGTGCGGGATTACAGGCTGAGTCACCGAGCCTGGCTGTTGGTGGAATTTGTATTGTGTCTTGCAATAACTTTGAGTACTGACTGCTTTTGTTGTGATTCAAATGAGGGAAATATTCACACATATACAGTAGTCTTCATTATCTGTGCGAGATATGTTCCAAGACCCCCAGCAGATGCCTGAAAAGAAAGGTAGTACTGAACTCTATTTGTCTTTTCATACATACTTATGATAAAGTTTAATTGATCATAAGAGATGTAAGATGATAATGTTTCATTTATCATGAGATGTGAGATTAACAGCAATAACAAATAATAAAATAGAACAATGATAACATATTGTAACAAGAGTTATATGAATGTGGTCTTTCTCTCAAAATATCAACATTTTTGGACCACGGTTGACCTTGAAAAACAAAACCATGGATAAGAAGGGACCACTATAGTTGTGGCCAGCTATTAAAAGTGAGGCCAACCTGACATTTTTGTGAGGGATTGTCTAACAAGAAGTTCTTTCTAGGCTGGGTGTGGTGGCTCATGCCTATAATCCCAGCACTTTGGGAAGCTGAGGAGGGAGCATTGCTTGAGCCCAGGAGTTCAAGACCAGCCTGGGCAACATAGTGAGACCTCATTTCTATTTAAAAATAAAAAAAATAAAGACGTTTCTTCTAAGTTTGCAATAGGTGACTAGGTCAGTCATTTCTTTGTTAAGTCAATGATCTTGACCACCATTACTCATTGTTCTGAGGTGAAGAAACTTTTTTTTTTTTTTGAGTCAGGGTCTCACTCTGTCACCAGGCTGGAGTGGCATGATTGTGGCTCACCATAGCCTCAACCTTCTGGGCTCAGGCAATCCTTACGCCTCAGCCTCCTGCGCACCTGGGACTATGCACATGCACACCATGCTCAGCTAATTTTTGTATTTTTTGTAATGATGAGGTCTTGCTATGTTGCCTAGACTGATCTCAAACTCTTGGGCTCAAGCAGTATTCCTGACTTGGCCTCCCAAAATGCTGGAATTACAGGCCAAAGCCACTGTGCTCAGCCAGAAATTCTTAAGATATTCTAAGATTCAAACTAAGATAATGTCTTAGTACTCAAGTTTCACTGTCACCAAATACTAGAATATTCCAGGCATTTGGTAGCTGTTACTAAAAAGACCACCAGTGCTGGGATTTGTGGAAATCAAACAACAAAACAATACTTAAAAAACAATACTTTTATACTAGGAGCAAAAAATATTTACTGTTTTTGTTGTGAAAGGGTAAGGGTAGAGGCTCTGGAGTCAGACTGTGACTTTGTGTTTAGATTCAGCTTTATTTTATTTATTTATTTTCAAATCAAAGTTTCACTCTGTCACCCAGGCTGGATGGAGTACAGTGGCACAATCATGGCTCACTTCAGCTTCAACCTCCTGGGCTCAGGTGACCCTTCTATCTCAGCCTCCCAAGTAGTGGGGACTACAAGCATGTGCTATCACACCAAGCTGATTTTTTAATTTTTTTGGAGAGATGAGGTCTTGCTATGCTACTTATACTGGTCTTGAACTCCTGGGCTCAAAGAATTCTTACCCTTCTACTTTCCTAAGTGCTGGGATTACAGGTGTGAGCCACTGTGCCCGGCCCAGCTTTAGAATTTTAGAAGAGAACTTCTATTATTGTTTTCTGAGAGCTGTTGTTTTTTTTTTTAATCGGAAATATGTGGTTTTTCTTTCCCAGTTTTTAAATATGTTTTATTACATTGACTGATCTTTGAAAGTTAAACCAACCTTGCATCCCCAAGACAAACCTCCCATGGCCATAATGTGTTATCCTTTTTATGTATTATTGGACTTGATTTGCTAAAATATTAAGAATTTTTGCATCATGTTTCCGAAAGATATTGGTCTTGTGTTTTCTTATATCTTTGTGTGCTTTTGGTATTATGGTAGTGTTGGCCTCATAGAATAATTTGGGAAGTGATCTCTTTTTCATTTTTCTGGATGAGTTATATAGAATTGGTCTTTTTTCTTTGTAAAATGTTTTGAGAATTTTCTAGTGATGTTTTCTTTGTGGCAAAGATATTAACTATAAATTCAATCTCTTTAATAGATACAGGACTATTGTGGTTATCTATTTTTCTTGATTGAACTTTGGTGGTGGGAATTTATCTGTTTCATACAAATTATCAAATGTATTGGCACAAAGTTGTTCATAACAGTTTCTGTGGTCTGAATATGTCTCCCAAAATTTGTATGGTAAAACTTAATTGCCATTGTGATTGTAGTAAAAAGTGAGGTCTTTAAGATGTGATTAAGTCATGAGGGCAGAGCCCTTATGGATGGATTTGGGGTCCTTATAAAAGGGCTTGAGAGAGTGAGTTCACACTGTTCTCCCATGTGAGGACACAGTATTCATCCCCTTTTGTCCTTTAGCCTTCTGTCTTCTGCCATGTGAAGATGTGAACTATAAGAAATAAATTTCTGTTCCTTATAAATTATCCAGTCTAAGGTGGTAGGAATGAACAAGAGAATATTCTTTTCTCATCATTTAAATAACTTGAGAATCTGTAGTAAGGTTACTTCTCTTACTACTGTAATTGATAATTTTTGTTTTTTCTTTTTTTATGACTATCTGACTAGTGATTTATAATTTATATTGATCTTCTCAAAGAACCGGCTTTTGGTTTCATTGATATTACCTATTTTTCTGTTTAGTTGATTTCAGTTCTAATTTTTATTACCTTCTGTTTATTTTAGGTATTATTTACTCTTTGTAGTTTCTTAAAGTAGAACCTGAGGTCATTGATTGGTGACACTTTTTCTCTTTTAATGTGGTATTTTGTGGCATAAAATTACCCCTAATTACTGCTTCACACCTTGAACTAGGCAGGTAGAGATGGTGGATTTAGGGGAGTCCATGTAAAGAACTGGAACATCCTCCCATTCATGGTTTTTTGTTTTTTGTTTTTTTGAGTCAGAGTTTCACTCTGTCACCCAGGCTGGAGTGCAGTGGCATCATGAGTCATTGCAGCCTCGACCTCCTGGGTT